TGTGAGAACTGCTTGCTCTCTCGCTCAAAGCAATCGGAGCCATGACATCCCTCAAGGGCCAGATCAAGCAGAGCCTCGAGTCTCTCAACAGCATGACCAACGCCGCTGAGTTCGACAAGGGCATCCCCGTCGAGCTGATCCAACGCTGCTCGGGCATCGTCTTCATGACGGAAGTCAAGGCGGGCTTCGTGTGGTCCGGGTCCGTCTCGGGTGGTATCCTCATCGCGAAGCTCCCAAACGGTGGCGGCTGGAGTGCGCCGTCGTCGCTCGGCAGCGGCGGGATGGGGTTCGGCTTCCAGGTCGGAGCGCAGAAGACGGACACCATCATTCTTCTGTTCGGCACCCTTGCCGTGAGCACCTTTGCCAGCGCGGGCCAGGTCAAGTTTGGCGGCGACCTCTCCGTCTCCGCCGGCCCGGTCGGTCGGTCGCTCGCAGCAGACGCGAGGCTCGGCACGGGAGGCTTCACGGGCTGCCTGAGCTACTCGCAGTCGCAGGGGCTGTTTGGCGGCGTCTCACTGACGGGCGCGGTGCTCATCACGCGCTCAAAAGACAACGAGGAGTATTATAAGAGGCCGGTCACGTCCAAGCAGCTAATCTCGGGCGAGGTGCCGCAAGACTGTCACTGCTCCCCACCCACCCACGCGCACCAAGCCCTTGCACTTTGAATCCCAGTGATTGCCCACCCAAGCCCACCCATGCGTGTGACCTCACCTCACCAGGTGCCGCCACCAGCCGAGGCGGCCTCCCTCTACGCCGCGCTCGACGACCTGATCAAGCAAGCGCCGCCGCCGCCGCCGCCACCACCACCCGCGGGCCACGATCAATACGCGCGGTCGCAGGAACCACCAACCAACCCGGCGGCCGAGTCGGCCCTCGTCGAGATGGGGTTTGCGCTCGCTGACGCGCGCGAGGCGCTCTACCGCTCGGGGAACGACATTGCTGCCGCGGCGGCACTGCTGGCCGACCGCGCTGCCACGACACACAGTCGTTTCTAGTAGCAGCGGGGTGCGCCCGATAGCGCCCTGGACCCACTGCCGCTCGGCTTCGCCCTCGTCCGGCGCACTGCCCTCTCCCTCTAGCGCCCCCTCCCCTCCTCCTCACTCTGTCTAGTAGAGCTCCGAGTGTTCAGTACGAAGGCCCTTGTGCCCAGTGTCTACCGTTATAGAGTCCTACATGACGCGCGATGCAGGATGCTGCGGCAACCGAAATGCACGCATGGGCATGCTGTCCATACATGGAAATCTCTGCGCAACATCGGAAGATCCTTGGACTGTAGATCGTAGATGCCTTTTAGAGATCTCTTAAGTGGCAAATCTCCTGCCAAGAGCTGCAGTAGATTGAAGAACTGGTGGAGGCAAATCTTCTCCGGTGTAGATGCTCGAGAGGAGTCTGAGATCTCGCGTTTGGTGCGTGCAGTCGCTTGAGATCTTGCGACAGAGGTGGAGATTCTGACTTCGCGCCAAAGGCGCCTAGAGATCGTGTGGGCCGACTGGAGATTGCAAAATGGCGCGAAAAGAGGGTGGAGATCCGTTTGCATTGTGAATGAGTCCATAGCGCATCTCCTTGAAGGTTTGAGCCCCCCTCCTCCCCCGGGCCCCCGAATCGACAGTGGAGATTGGAGATTGGAGATGGAGATCGGAGATCTGACTGAATCCGGCCTAAGATGACGACGTTGGAGATTGGAGATTGAAGATGGAGATCGGAGATCTGACTGGATCCGGCCTAAGATATAGCGACGCTGGAGATTGGAGAGTACTGGAGAGATGGAGATCGGAGCCCCCCAGCCCCTAGTGGTATCTCATCGATTTTTTGTTTTGTTTTTAGATAAAGGTCTGTGCGCGGACGGCCCGGGGAGCCTGCGGCGCCATT